AGGCATTTCTAAGGTCCCCTCTCAGCCTTCTCTTCTCCAGGCTGAACAAGCCCAGCTCCCTCAGCCTCTCCTCGTAGGAGAGATGCTCCAGTCCCCTCCTCATCCTCGTAGCCCTGCGCTGGGCTCTCTCCAGTAGCTCCTCATCTTTCTTGAACTGGGGAGCCCAGCACTGGACCCAGCACTGCAGATGGGGCCTCCCCAGGGCAGAGCAGAGGGGGAGGAGAACCTCCCTGGACCTACTGCCCACACTCCTCCTCATGCACCCCAGGATCCCCTTGGCCTTCTTGGCACCCAGGGCACACTGCTGGCTCAGGGTCACCCTGTCGTCCCCCAGCATTCCCAGTCCCTCTCCAGCTGGTCAGCCCTTAACGAGGCAATGCCTGGCTGGCTGGTTGCACCCCAAAACCTCACACTGGCCTGCAGAGAAGTGTCCTGCCCTAGGACCACTGTGGACGGAGCACGGCGCATCCCATCTTGGACCCAGCACCCTGCCCACCCCCTGCCCACCTTGAGGATGCGGTTGAAGTCCTGCTTGTCCACGCGGAGGAAGTGGCAGTTGTCCTCCCGCAGAATGATGGTGGCCGCGCGGGGCGCGTCGTTAACCAGCGCCAGCTGCCCAAAGTCATCCCCTTCGTGCAGGGTGGCCACCAAGCCCTGGCCAGGGGGGACACGAAGGGTGAGGGATGGGGTGGGAGCCTTGGTCCCCGCTGGGGGCTGGTGACACGAGGTGTCTGGAGAACCCCGCGGCCACAGGGACGCGTCTACCTTGCCGTGGGTGACCACGTTGACCGAGCCCTTCCAGATGATGTACCACGATGTGCCTTTATCTCCTTGGCTGAACACTGCAGGAGAAACGGCCGCATCCAGCAGCCGAAGAGGGGGAGCCCCCAGGCATCCTTCTTCAGCTCCCCCACCCTAAGCCCCCAGCCCACGTGAACGCCAGTGCTCCGGTCCCCTCCATCCCTGGTCCATGAAGAGACAGAAGGAGCATCCACCCTGATGACAGCAGCTCCCTGCGTCCTCCCCGGGCTGGGGACACTTTCCTGAGGGACCGGCCAGCCCTGCCCAGCTCCTGGGGCACGCGATACTCACGCACGGTGCCTGCTCTCTGGTGAGATTCGAACATCAGCACGGATGCCAGCTCCTGCTTGACCTGCGGCAAGAGGTGCCCGCTGTTAGGGTCACCCCAGCCTGGAGCTGAGCGAGGAGGGGACACGCGTGGGCACAGGGGACAAGGTGGGAAGGGGACCCAGGGATGCTCAGAGAGCATCAATGGCCTTAAGTTGTGTCAGGGGAGGTTTAGATTGGATATTAGGAAAAATGTCTTCACTGAAAGAGCGGTCAGGCCTTGGACCAGGCTGCCCAGGGCAGTGGTGGGGTCCCCATCCCTGGAGGGGTTCAAAAAATGGGCAGATGTGGCACTTCGGGACATGGTTGAACAGGCCTGGTGGTGCTGAGGTGACGGTTGGACTTGACGATCTTAGAGGTCTTTTCCACCCTTAATGATTCTATGATTCTATGAGAGGGTCAGGAGAGGATGCCCAGACAGAATCACAGAATCACAGAATGGTCGGGGTTGGCAGGGCCCTCTGTGGGTCACCCAGTCCAACCCCCCTGCCCAAGCAGGGTCACCCAGAGCAGGCTGCACAGGACCTTGTCCAGGCAGGTCTTGAATATCTCCAGAGAAGGAGACTCCACAGCCTCCC